AGGTGGCCTCGCCCTCCACCTCTCTCCGTGTCGGGGGCAGCCTTCTGTTGACGCGAGTGAGAAGAAAACCAGTTGTCCGACGAGGCCCCCTGCACAGGATGCGCACAGGGCCTAGATATCCACAAGGGCCCTCCAAACGCTCCAAGGGGACCTCAAGCTGCCCCTATGATCGCTCCCAGACGCCCACGACGGCCCCCAGACAGCCAAAGAGGCCCCTACGAAGCGACAAGAGAGTCCCAAGAGCACCCCCACGAGGACCCCAAGATGTCAAAAGTTCTTATGTTTCAGGGGTTTCGACTGGTTTTAGCCTTATCGCCTTTTCCAGTCTCCGACGCTCCAAGACGGCCCAAGAAGCCCCCAATCGCGCCCAAGGACTGCCCGGGAGGGTCCCAAGACGCCCCGAGGAAGGCCCCGGCCTCGCTGGCGCTGGCGCACAGGGCGTGCTGCCAGCAGGCCGGGTGCAGAGCAGGATCGGGGACCCGCTCGGTCATCCCCGCTGGCAGTGACGTCTCACGCCGAGCGCGAGTCCCTCATCGTCGCCCTCGCCAGCCGCGGCCTCCACCGCCGCCTGCGAGGCAAAGGCAGCGCGGGGAGGGGAGGCGGGAGGGCTGGGGCGGGGCCTCGGATTCCGTTGGGTCGGGGTCTCGAGCTCGGGCAGGAGGAGCCCGAGGTCAACCAGCCCTTTCGCTGGCTGCCGCCTGCCTGCTGCTGCCTTCGCTGTTGGCTTGGGCCGCCGCCGCCGCCTGCTCTCGCTCGTCGCTCGCTCGTTCGCGCGCCCCTGGAAGCGCCCCGCCGCGCCCGCGGCGGTCGCGCGCTTCGGTAGGTACGCTCGTCAAGCGCGAAACGCAGAGACGCAGAAACGCAGGTCAACCGACTGAGCCGCATCGGCCCCCCCCCTGGTGGTCCATGCCGGCGGAAGTCATCTTCGCTGCACGCCTTGCCGAAAACTTGCACGCCTGCGTGGCCAGCTCCAATCAGCCGTCGATGGGCACAATGTTTGTGTCGACGGCCTGGGCAACACTGGCCCCTTCCTTGATAAACTTCTCCGAGGCATTCCTGGGTAATTCGATTCGAACTCATGCGTTTGCGGCTCGGTTTTTTGTTTATGAGTCAGTGGCAATGCACAGGTTTGAAGCCAAGGTGGCAAAGTCTCCCCGACTGTGCAGTCTCAGCTGGACGCCCTCGGGTTTCTTGAGCACCCTGCATTGGCTTGCAGTCGGCCGTGACGGTGAAGCGCCCAAAACGTGCAGCGCGAGCAGGGGGGGTGGAGGAGGGACGGAGGAAACAGGAAGGCGGGAAGAGGGGATGCCGTTCGGACTCACTCCCCGCGCGGGTTCGTCCGAAGGCACAGTGAGCTCCAACCAAAGCTGGGTCACGTGCGGGCCCTGCTCCCGATCATGCAAAACATGCGAACGAAGCCCTTCAGGCGACCGCTCGGGGGACCTGTTGGGCGAGTCGGGGGTGCATACCTGCCCCAGTTCAGTGCCGTCCCCTGGGCAAAGCGTTGTAGACGGCCGACAGGATATCGTCAGCCGATACCAGATCCAGCGATCCGTGGTCGGACCAGGTGCTGAGGTGGCTTTCCGAAACCCAGGCGGCCTGGACCCAGATGCGGACCCGCTCGTCCAGGAACTCATCCAGTGCAGGCCGATCAGCCAGATGAAAGGGTCGAAGAAGAGACATCGATGTACACATGAACTTCCGGAGGTTCGCACGGATTTCTTGGATCGACGTTGAATCCCCCTCCCTGGCGCGGCGCGCCAGTGGCGGCGCCAATGGCAACTCCAAGTAATTCGCATGGAGGTCACAAAAATGATACAGCACCTCGCAGGTGCGGACAAGAAGGACGGGGCGGTCGCGGGGTGGGTCGCGGGTGGGTCGTGGGGTTGTCGCTGGCGATGACGACGAAAACAACAGCGCCAACAACAATAACAACAACAATACCAACACCAACACCAACAACAACACCAACAACAACACCGCCACCAATAGCAACAAACTAACAACAACACCACCAACAACAGCAACAACACTAACAACAGCACTAACAACAACAACAACAACAATCTGGACCACGGAATCCCACTTCAGCTACGCACCCCGGGACAATGCAGAACCGCTCGGCCCCGTTTCTCTGATGTCCACACGGCGTTTTTCGTCGTCTGGTGTCGGTGTCGCCCCAACAGCCTGTAGTATTATGCGTGCGTCGCCCTCCCCCCCCCAGGGGCGACGTGCGCACCGAGAAATCTTGTGGTAAACGCTCCGTGGCGGGCGCTTTCTGGCCATGCCGCTGGGAAAACGATCTACTGTAATATGGTTGTGCTATATGTTGATGTTCGCGTTGGACGCACAACTCCAAGGAGGACATCTGGTACTAGGATGTCCTTGTGCGTCCCATGCAGGACCGCTCGGACCCCTCACTCCGATGATCACGTCGGTTTCCTTCTGCCGGTGGGCCCGTCCTCGGGGCGCAAGGGGTGGGCCCATTGCCCCGCCGAAGCGGTGGTCCATTCGGCCACCCTTTCGGGTAACTCAACACCAGGCCTTCCGTGCTCCGCCGGGCGCCTGGGGCGAAGTGGGGACGAGGAGGGGCACGAGGACCATCATGACGAGGCGGGGAGGGGCAGGAGGACCATCATGACGAGGGGGGAGGGGGAGGAGGACCATCATGATGAGGCGGAGAGGGGGGAGGAGGATCCATCACGATGAGGCGGGCAGGGGGAGGAGGCCTACAGAATTCGGGAGGAAGGCCTTCTTTTTCTGGGATGAAGGTGTTCCTTAAGGTAGGCTCATGCGGCATTGGCGCGCCGGTGACGCCAGCGACTGCGTTCAAGGTTGAATCCTGCGACGCGGAAGCACCGATGGACACGCTAACGCCACTGGACCCGACTGGAAAACCTTGAACGATAGGGGTCGCGATCGATTCAAGGTTGAACGATCGATGCAGTGTCAAAAACTGTTGAGCGCGCCGACGCCGCGCGAACCTACCGTAGGCCTCCCCCAGGTCTACCCCAGGCCTTCCCCAGGCCTTCCTCAGGCCTTCCCCACGCCTTAATTAGGCCTGCCCAGGCCTATCTTGGGCCTGCGCCTGGAGGCCTTCCGTGGGCCCACCTGGGCCTTCTTGGGCCTTCCCTGGTGTCCGTAGGCCTACCTGGGCCTTCTTAGG